CAAGGACTCTATGGGCAGGGATATGATATACCCACTCCCAGCCCTCAGCCTTGAACTCACTGCCAGTTCTGTGCTAACTGAGGTTTGGGCATCCTATAAAAACCCTGTCAGATGGGTCTCTGTTCCTCTCAGAACCTTGAAAATTTTATCACCCTCCTTAAAGGCCATTCTAATGACTTCACAGTTCATCATCTTCTTAATTTAGGCAAATCCTAAGAGCCAGGCTCATTTCTTCTCTTATCTCCTTGCATAAAGTTTAATGGGCATGCAAGCTGTGAGCTTTCCTTCCCCCCACCCCCATGTCTAAAAAGTGGTGATAACAAAAATAACAATGGCTACAAGCTTCCTTGAAGTGAAGTTCATTATCTTAAATGAGAGAAAGAGACCAAGCACCTGAGAAGAAAATGGCTCAGAAATTGGAAAGAGAGCATTATGCTCTGCTACCATTGGTTGGTATTCGGCTCTTTTTTTTTTCCTCCTGAGCAACCTAAGAGCCAGAGGACGTGAACAACCTGTACAGGAAATAGATGGTGTGTGGAGGAGGCGAGGGGGGTGCCCGGCAGTCGTTCTTTGAATCCTTCAGTGAATTCACTTGAATGCATTAGAGAAGCTGGAAAACAGGCTCTGCTTGGATGCCTTCCAACACACTTCACAAAGCTCAGGAAAAGCTCAGCAAAGCCACACGCTTTTTATGCTTTCCTGAGGAAAGACTCTGCTTCTTGGTCTCAGGGTTAAGGAGTTTCAGCAAGTTTTTATAGAGACGCTAAAACATTCTCTTCATATTTTCCTCTGTCACTAAAAGGAGCCCAGGGGATAGAATCAACGATGTGGGCACTTAAGTGCCTGCTGGGCCAGTTAGCTTCTGTGAGAGGTGTAGGTGCGGTGACTATATTGTGGTGAGCCCTTAACTACCCTGCGTCCTTGGGTATATCAGGAGTGTGTGTGTGTGTGTGTGTGTGTGTGTGTGTAAAATCTCAGTTGAAACGTGAGGAAACTAAACTCAGAAGAGTGGATGTGTGCATTTCAAGATTTCCTCCTTGGACTAGAAAATGCAGAACGAACACCATCTTTATCCCTCCCAGAAAATGGTTTTCCCATCAGGACAAAATAAACCCCATGTAAATTGTAAGTATGGAGAGACAGGAAGCTGAGAGGGATATGACAGTGGTCTCAGGACCATCAGGAGTTACAGCTTTTTTTGTTGTTACCCAAAAAATATATATTTTTTAATTTATTTATTTTTGGCTGCATTGGGACTTCGCTGCTGCACGCGGGCTTTCTCTCTAGTTGCTGTGCGCGGGCTTCTCATTGCGGTGGCTTCTCTTGTTGCGGAGCACGGGCTCTAGGCATGCGGGCTTCAGTAGTTGTGGCTTGTAGGCTCTATAGTGCAGGCTCAGTAGTTGTGGCGCATGGGCTTAGTCGCTCCGCGGCATGTGGGATCTTCCCGGACCAGGGCTTGAACCCGTGTCCCTTGCGTTGGCAGGCGGATTCTTAACTGCTGCGCCACCAGGGAAGCCCCCAAAAACATTTTTAAAGAGAAAACTAAAGCATTTCTTTTGCCTTTATGAGAGTGATTTGGAATGCTCATTGGAGCAAAAAGGCTGTTTATGAACTGACTACTTTGGCCTTTCTTTGGCTTATCACACCCCATTGTGTTTGTTTCAGAACGTGAGATTTACACTGAGTGAATATTAACAGGGAACAAAACCTGAAGCCATCACAATTTGCATTTGCCAGTGAGGTTTTCCTTTATCTGCTGAACTTAAATTGCTTTTTTTCTAGGAAAAAAAAATGTAATTTTAGCTTTCTCAAGTATGCTTCTTTATAGGAAGCTTATTAATATCTTTAAGCCATTCTACCTTGCTCACCAACTTGTAATTTTCTCATTCATCATTAATGTTTTCTTATATTTTCATTTTCCTTAACTTTTAGCCATAAAAAAGTATATATAATTACAATAAACAGAGACACTGGAATATTGCTAGTGTCAGACAAATACCTAACAACACTTCCTAGATTTAGAATTTCAGTGTATTTATTTATTTTTCCAGGTCCTCAGTTTTATTCTAGAAGGACTAGAAATCAGGTGATCTCTCTGTCTCTTTTTTAATGTCACTGTAATTTCTGATTGAGTCAAATGGTTAGATAAGTGTGAAGATAGGTTTAGAAGTGAGTTAAGAAATTATCCTGATGCAAATGAAGAAATCTGTGAAGATTCCTCTTTTAAAGATCTTCAAGAAAACCATCAGCTATATTTAATTTGAGCTGTCACTTAGTATCTTCCAAGGGAAAAAAATTAAGTTAATTTTCCATTTTCTCATAGAAAGAGCCTATTACACTTTTGTCCAGGTTATTGACCACTTGACACAGGAGAGTAGGATGCAAAGTGCCCATACAACATGTACCTGCTGTTTGGGAACTATGCAAATATATAAAAGAGTATATAAATCAGTTACCTGAATGGAGTAAGTGACCAAGTAGTTCTACTTCAGCCTGGTAAAACAGCGCCACCTACTGCGCACAGGCTTTATTTTATGTTGGAGAATTCTTCAGTAGAAATTCACCTCTGCAGACCTCAGCACGAAACAAAATAGGTTTTCAGTCTGTTATCTTTTAAGATCTACATCTGGGTCAATTTATTGAGATATTTGTTTTCTGTGTATGTGTGCACACTCATATTGAGAACAATAATTAGAGAGTAGGAGAGAATGGGAGATAAAAGAATGTAAATATGAAAACAATAGGAATATCGAATATTCCTTCTTGGTGTCTACTGATGTGCCTTTTATTCTGAAAATAAGTCTAATGTACCTCCATTTGCCCTTTTTACAGCTACTAATGACATAAAAATCAATAGTCACGGAATGCCTGTTTTACTTGAACCACGGTTCATATTTCATCCTAGGCTGCCCACAGTGATTCCTTTATTAAATGATTACAAATTTAATAGGCCTTTATTGAATTCCCCTTTCTCTAGTGTTTTTTTATTCCTATAATAACACTTAATTCCACAATATTTTAAAATAAGAATTCCTAATATTCCTAATGTATTTTGCATTATAGCATCACATAAGCATTTACATGGAGTATTAACAGGAGCACATCTTTTTATTGAGTTGGGGCCATTAATTATCCTTTCGCCCATTTTGGTTTATTTCATCTAATCTATTTCACCACAACATAAAATAAGTAAGTGACAATAGATATGGTACAATAGTGATTATGATTCTTTTCATCACTACCTATAACCCTTCCAAGGTTTTAACTGATTATTGACCTTTCACATCATTCACTTTTGTAAACTGAGAAGGTCATACCATTTTTAAAAATTTTTTTAATTTATTATTATTTTTTTCTTTCTTTCTGTGGTACGCGGGCCTCTTACTGTGGCCTCTCCCGTTGCGGAGCACATGCTCCGGATGTGCAGGCTCAGCGGCCATGGCTCACGGGCCCAGCTGCTCCGCGGCATGTGGGATCCTCCCGTACCGGGGCACGAACCCGTGTCCCCTGCATCGACAGGTGGACTCTAAACCACTGCGCCACCAGGGAAGCCCAGTCATACCATTTTAGATCTTGTTTCATAATTAATTTTTCAGCATTCGCTTGTTTCTTTTAAATGATATTTGTATTTTTCCCATTACTGTTAATTTATTTACGTATTAATGGAATAGCACACAGTCTGGAATTTATAATGTTTGACATTTGTCAGGGGTTTGATTTACCAATAAACTGAAATAGGATATAACTTGTTTCTATTTCACATGCCAAAGTCATAATTATATAATTGAAACATGTTAAATTTCTAGACCTACAAAAAGCACAGATGGTTTCAATTTTGTATCCTGATTTGAAGGAAAGCTATTCGAATTCCAAATATTGTCAAAAACTTGATTTTCTCTTACATGTTTATATCTTAAAAGACTTTTGTTATATTTATTACAACTTTACTCATTCAATTAAAAACTGAATATCTGCTATGCTAGCTTCTGGAGATTCAGTGATTAAAGCAGAAATTTCTCACCCTCAGTGAGCTCCCTTTCTTGCAGAACAGCATGGATCGCTCTAGAACAGTAAGAGCAAGGAGCTGTGATGCAAACTTTTAGTAAACAGGGATGGGGGAGGAGGGGATTAAGGGGGAAATCAAGAAGACTTCCTGGAAGAGAGAAACCCTGAATTGAGTCTGCAGAGAAGATAAAGTGTTTCAGGAAGATATGTATGTGCTCCAGGATTGGAGATAGGATTTGCAAAGACACTGAGATGAGAGAGAACAGGTTTGGGGAAATCCATGTTGTTCAGCTCACCTGGGACTCAAGGCTTCAAGTGAAAAAGTTCTGAGAGATGAGACTGAACATGTAGGCAGAGGTCAGATAATGCAGGGTCTGTCATGCTTTGGGACTTTGTTCTGAATGTTTTGGTGTGTTTAAAATAGTTTAAGTTGAGGAAGTGAAAGAGTGAGTGATGGGATTCAAACTGATTAGAAATCCTCCTCTAGCAACTCTGTTGAGAAAGGATTCGAGTAGAATATGACTGGAGGAAGAGGGGTCAGTTCTGGAGCGGAATAGAAAGTGGTCCGAAGGAGATGGATAAATGATGATGAGAGAGGGCAAGGGGGAAGATGAGTGTTTGATGGCTTAGTATGGTGGTAGAACTGATTTAATGACCCAGTAAACGTGGAGACTGTAGAAAAAGTCCAAGAAATTGTTTCGAGCACAGGAAGAGTTTGGTGGCACCATCCACTAAGATACAGGCAATGCACAGATTAGAGATGAGTAGAGAAGAGAAGACTTCTACTATAGATGAGTTAGATACACCCAAGTGGGTGGCTGGTAATAGACACCTGGAGTTCAGAGGAGAGATTGGAATCAGAGATCTTTAAATCTAATCTTTGTGACTCCTTAATAATGTGTAGAACTTCACTGAAAAAAATAAACAAATTGGTTCTATCTTCCAAGACCTTCCTTCATCTATCCCACTGTTCTTATGCCCCATCCACCCCGCAGAGGACTGGTATGAACAGTTGTATCCCCTCATCCTTACCCTGAAGGACTGCATGGGAGAAGTGGTGAATCGAGCCAAGCAGTCCCTGACGTTCGTGCTCCTTCAGGAGCTTGCCTACAGCCTTCCCCAATGTTTGATGCTGACGCTAAGAAGAGACGTCGTCTTCAGCCAAGCAGTAGGTGCCTCTTGATCTTGTGAGCCCAGCACAGTGATGGGTTGTCAGATAGTATCCTTGGTGAAGATAGATGTCTTTTTATGACAGTTCTCTTTTTTTTTAAATCTTTTTATTTTATATTGGCATATAGTTGATTAACAATGTTGTGATAGTTCCAGGTGTGCAGCAAAGTGATTCAGTTATACATACACATATATCTATTATTTTGCAAATTCTTTTCCCATTGAGGTTGTTACATAATTTTGAGCAGAGTTTCCTGTGCTATACGATAGGTCCTTTGGCAGTTTTCTTTTTAAAGGGATTCTTTTCTTAAAGTTTAGAACCCAGTTTTTCTTACTCATAATAAATACAAGCCGAATGGAAACAGTGTCTGAGACCTGAAGTATTTATTTCAGCAAAGAGGTGGCCAAGTCTCTGAAATGTCCATGCTGTTTCACAGGGCAGAGAGTCTGTAAAGGAAAGGATCCCCCGTCCTGTCCTCATATTATGCCCAGGGCTCTCCACACCATGCACAGTGTGGATGGCAGCCAGGACCGGCAAAAGGGATCTGTTTGCAACCCTTTATTTATACAGCTCCCTCATGAATCCCAGGACGGGACTTCATAATGATCTCTTTTTTGGTGTTTATAAAATAAGTTCACCAGGCCATAGCCTTGAATGGGAAGTTTGACAGGACCACCTCCTTTGCCTACAACCCAACCCTAGCCCATGACACCAAGGTTGGCCTCCATCACAATGGCTGTGTTCCTTCTCCCCTCCTGCCTCCACCACCATGATTGAGTTTTATAGACAGACACGTGGAAGGAAAGAGACAGAAGCCTCTCCTTCTAAACCTTCCAGACAAAGGGAATGTTTTACCCAAAATATCTCTTGTCCCCCCTATTTCATGCACGACCCAGTAGCAAACGGAGCTAAGTGTCAGGCATTATGCTCTGCCTTATACACATTTCTCCGTTGTGTCCTTTCAACGACTCTGCGAAATGAGAACTATTATCTCTATTTTCTGTGTGCAAAAAAATAAGAACAGAAAGATTTGGAAGTGTTAAGTAACTTTTTATGGTTTTACTGCTTAGAAATGGGAGGGACAGGATTTGCAGATTCCGAGTCCATGGTCTCTCCCATATCATAATGCTGCCTTCCCCAAGCCATACTAGAGTAAATGCAGTCAACGCATTTCAAAATGGATATATAAATAGTTATAATTTTGTTACATATACTTGAAAATTTCTAATTATGTCTGTGATGTCTCAAAGACATATATTTTTAAATTAAAGTTTGCTGACCCCAGTAATTTCTTCAATGATTTTTTTTTTTTTTTTTTTTTTTAGCTTGCTGGATTGGTCTGTGGTTTTATCATCAAATTGCACACAAGTTTGTATGACCCTGGCTTCCTTGAGCAGCTTCACACGGTGGGATTGATAGTACAATATGAAGGACTGCTAAGTACATATAGTAAGTATTGCTTTAGTCCATGTTAAAATAGTATTCCTATTCATAAAGATATGTGATCCATAGATTCTTCAGTTAAATATAAAAATGAATAGTAAACCTTTCTTGCATCAAGCATTAGAGAAAGAAGGTAATTTTTAGTTCTTTGTATTCATTTTCCTTGTCACTGTGCTTTTACTCTCATTATGTTTTTCTTTTTTTTAGTCTTCAAGATTTATTTTATTTTTTTATTTTATTTTTTTAACATCTTTATTGGGGTATAATTGCTTCACAATGGTGCGTTAGCCTCTGCTTCACAACAAAGTGAATCAGCTGTACATATACATATGTTCCCATATCTCTTCCCTGTTGCGTCTCCCTCCCTCCCACCCTCCCTATCCCACCCCTCCAGGCGGTCACAAAGCACCGAGCCGATCTCCCTGTGCTATGCGGCTGCTTCCCACTAGCTATCTACCTTACATTTGGTAGTGTATATATGTCCATGCCTCTCTCTTGCTTTGTCACAGCTTACCCTTCCCCCTCACCATATCCTCAAGTCCTTTCTCTAGCAGGTCTGTGTCTTTATTCCTGTCTTACCCCTAGGTTCTTCATGACATTTTTTTTTTCTCATTATGTTTTGAAAATGGAATTATAGATTATTTCACAGTGGAGTCCTGAGCAGCCATCTGGCTTTTTAAATAAAGGCTTTTGCCAACCTAGTTTCAATGACTGGATTTTTAAAGTCCCAACTCTGTAATGTCTAGAGCTACCCTGTTCAATACATAGGTTGGTGTGGCAATTGAGCACTTGAAATGTATCTAGTCCAAATCAATAAGTACTCAACGTGCACACCAGATTTCAAAGACTAGTGAAAAAAATGTTTTATATTAATAATTAATGAATAATTAATCATAGTATATTGATTTACAGCTGAAATGTTATTTTGGAACTATCAGGCTAAAGGAAAACAGATTATTAAAGTTAATTTCACCTTTTAAAATTTTACTCTTTAAAAAGAAGGAAATTTAAAATTATATATGTGGCTCACGTTATATTTCTGTTGTGCAGGACTGATCTAGAACCTTATTTAATTACCTCCTTCTTAGGTTTTATTTGTCAGTGTATTAAGATATAAAACTAGCATGAGCTTGGGTCAGTGACCTTCAATTCAGCCATCTCTATTATTTCTAGAAATCAAATGTCAGTCCTGCCAAGGGAAAGAGATCTGCATGATACTTTGTGCCACAGAAGGATTAAAACTTCTCTCTAACCTTCCAGCAAAGGCATTCCTCTTTCCTTCCCTCAAAGGGTATGTGGACAGCTGGAGTCTATTTAAATGGTTCTTGTTTCACTGATGAAAACCTTCAGACTCAGGAAAACGTATTGAGAATGGATTCGCTGCCTTCAGAAACTCATTCACTAAACTGTTAGAACAAATTCCAGCAGGGAGGTGGAGTACAAAGTGACTTTCTTCAAATAGTATGTTTGTAACTAGGCTCCTTTGCCCTTGTTTAGGTGAGGAAATTGGAATGCTGGAGGACATGGCCGTTGGTATTTCAGATTTGAAGAAAGTCGCTTTTAAAATAACTGAAGCCACATCCAATGATGTCTTGCCAGTTATAACCGGAAGGCGGTAAGTGGTGTTCATTTCCTAAGACCAAGCTTTGTTAGATATTTTTAATTAACCCCTGACAAAGGAGCCAAGGAGAATTAAGGTTTGGTTTCGAAATGTTTCTTTTGTTCTCTTTTCCTTTTTGGTGAAAAATAAATGTAGGTGACATGACAGGGGAAGATCTTGAAAAACTCATAAAAGTCTCATGAATGTTTGTAAATTGTACTGAAATGAGGTAAGTAGGGTAAGCCTCCCCTATGAAATATGAGAAATTCAAAATAATAGCAGGCATGAGAAAAAAAATTTCTCTTTATTACTATCTAATCTAAAGCTCTGAATGTTTTTACTTTTGCTGGAATCATTTGGTTAATAGTGTCATAATTCTTGAGATGACTTGGTATTAAATTCTTGGTATTAAAAGCAGCAACATTTTAGAAAAGGTATATTCCTATGTCAGGGGCACATACCACCATTTTTCTTAATTATTATTATTTTTTTATTTCTTATTTTTTTGCGGTACGCGGGCCTCTCACTGTTGTGGCCTCTCCCGTTGCGGAGCACAGGTTCCGGACGCGCAGGCTCGGCGGCCATGGCTCACGGGCCCAGCCGCTCCGCAGCATGTGGGATCTTCCCAGACCGGGGCACGAACCCGTGTCCCCTGCATCGGCCGGCGGACTCTCAACCACTGCACCACCAGGGAAGCCCTATGTCAATTATATTTTAATAGAGATGACAAAATGTTATCATATAGAAAGTCCAGAAGTAAACCTACACACTTATGGTCATTAAAACTACTACAAAGGAGGCAAGAATATAGAATGGAGAAAAGATAGTCTGTTTAATAAGTGGTGCTGGGAAAATTGGGCAGCTGCATGTAAACGAATGAAATTAGAACATTCGTTGAGTTTACAAAAATAAACTCAAAATGGATTAAAGACATAAATGTAAGACTGGATACTATAAAACTCCTAGAGGAAAACATAGGGCAGAACACTGTTGACATAAATTGCAATTTTTTTGGATCCGTCCCCTAGAGTAATGAAAACAAAAGCAAAAATATACAAATGGGACCTAATTAAACTTAAAGGCTTTTGCACAGCAAAGGAAACCATAAACAAAACAAAAAGACAACAAACAGAATGGGAGAAAATATTTGCAAATGATGAAACTGAGAAGGGATTAATTTCCAAAATATACAGTTCGTACAGCTCAATATCAAAAAAAAAAAAAAATCAAAAAATGGGCAGTAGACCTAAATAGACATTTCTCCAGAGAAGACATACAGATGGCCAACAGGTACATGAAAAGTTGCTCAGTATTGCTAATTAGAGAGACGTAGATCAAAACTGCAATGAGGTATCACCTCACAACCAGTCAGAATGGCCATCATCAAAAAGTCTACATATAATAAATGCTGGAGAGGGTGTGGAGAAAAGGGAACCCTCCTGCACTGTTGGTGGGAATATAAATTGGTGCAGCCACTATGAAGAACAGTATGGAGGTTCCTTAAAAAACTAAAAGTAGAGTTATCATATGATCCAGCAAGCCCACTCCTGAGCATATCTCTGGAAAAAAATGAAACCCCTAATTCAAAAAGATACGTGCACCTCAATGTTCATAACAGCACTATTTACAACAACCAAGACATGGAAGCAACCTAAATGCCCATTGACAGATGAATGAATAAGGAAGATGTGGTACATATATACAATGGAATATTAGCCATAAAAAAGAATGAAATAATGCTATTTGCAGCAACATGGATGGACGTAGAAATGATCATACTAAGTAAGTGAGACAAAGACAAATATCACATGATATCACTTATATGTGGAATCAAAAAAAAATGATACAAGTGAACTTATTTACAAAACAGAAATAGACTCACAGACATAGAAAACAAACTTACGATTACCAAACGGGAAAGGGGTGGGGGGTAAATTGGGAGTATGGAATTAACAGATACACACTGCTATATAAAAAATAAATAACACCGACCTACTGTATAGCACAGGGAACTATTCAGTATCTTGTAATAACCTATAATGGAAAAATCTGAAAAAGAATAATCACTTTGCTGTACACCTGAAATACAACATTGTATATCAGCTATACTTCAATTAAAAAAAAAAGTTATCATAAAGAATGTGTATAATGTTTTACCTTCAGAGAAATCTTTAAATGCAGGCTTGGTTCATTGAATCTTCTCATATTCCTGAAAATTTTGAAATAAACATCAGCCTTCTGTTAGCCAGGCTATTGTAAAGGACACTGAGAGCAATTTAGGAAAGAAAAATAAAGTGTCCATCCTCTGGGGGTAGTGCTAACATCCCTGCTTGCTAGATTGATGGTATTTCCAGATTCTCTAGTTCAAAGCTGAGGTAAGAAACAAGTCTCACTGTCAAGTATCCAGAGTATGTAGCAGTATTATTATACTAGAGAAACTGAAAAGATTTTCACAGAGACTCTCTAATTTTCCTGTTCTTCGTTACCCCATACACATATTACAACACCAGCACTCTATATAGTTCAGGAAACACATGGATTTTCCTAAATTCCAGGTGAAACTTGACATTTCTTTAATCAATTCACACTGGATCAGAAGATATCAAGTTTCAGAATCTACAAGCAGCTATTCTTATTGACCCTATTTTGTGAATCCTAATTTAAATTTTCAACACTAAACATTAGGAGTAATGTTTAATGGAAATTTCCAAAGAAAAAATGCTCTGGTGATATGTTAATGTTGCAAAATGATCAGGAAAGCTGAAAGGTTACATCTTAAATAATGAAACCATTACATTTCCATCAGGTCATCACGAACGGAAGTTCATCAATAATAACAATTAGGCCATGCTAAAAAATGTATAAATGATTTGGTTCATTAGTTTCACTATATTAAAAAATCCATCATTAAATTGCTTTTCTTATTCTTGAGACTGGGTTTTTAAATAATTAAATCAAGAAAACAAATATTGAAGCTCTTATGCACATGGCCCTTTTATACAAAGATGCACTAAATATTCTTCCTTTCCTATAAAACCTCAGAGTAATGGAGATAAACGTAAATGACTCTTTATGCCAAGTAATTTAATAGTGAAGTGAATGAAATGATTATCAAATGAATTAATAAAAGAAAATAAGCAGATAGAAGCCAGAAACCTAAATCACTGCTATATTCCAGCTGTTTTATTGTTTCTTTCCTATGAATCTAAAGTAACATAAAATTGAATGAAATAAAGCAAGGCTGCTTCTCTTTGCCCTCCTGTTTCTCCAGTGAACATTATGTGGTGGAGGTGAAGCTTCCAGGCAGAATGTTTGAGTCCCTGCCTCTACAGATTAAAGAAGGACAATTGCTTCATGTGTATCCAGTACTTTTTAATGTTGGAATCAATGAACAGCAAACTCTTGCTGAGAGGTAAGCTTCAGATGTAAGGTTGGTACTTGATTTTTTTGTTTAATTGTTATGGATATGCTAAATAATTCCACATGTTCCTGTACATAGAAATTAGATTCATGGGTAACATTTTCCTTTTCATCAGTACAAAGTTATTTGATATGGCAAGTAGAATTATTCATATTTAAGGATTCCTGGCCCACATCAAATTTAAATATGGCAAAATAACAAGGAAAATATTGGTGTCAGTACCAAAATATTCACATGGATTAACTTTCTTCATGTTTCCAAATACCTACATGTGTGTATCAAATTTTAGAATTTTTTTGTGCTTCTATGTATTTCAACATTGTAAACTGCTAATTGTGTCCAAATTTTCTGGACCTAATAAATCACACTATTTCTTCCTTTTGTTTTATTTACTAAAATAATTTTTTAAATTTATTCAAAAACTTTTTTTAATTTTTAAAATTTATTTACTAAAATAATTGTTATTGGAGGATGACAACACATCTTTTCATAATAATTTTCTCAGTTAAATGACAGATGATTGTATGTGATCGCATAAGCAACTGTCAAAAACGCTTTGGGCAAAGGAATTACTTTTGCATCTTACATTATTCCCATGTAGAGATTATCGAAAACGTGGATAAGAGTTAAGATTCACAGAACACATTTTTAAAAGATTCTCTAAAACTTCTCAGAGAAAGAAGTTAGTGTCTTTTTTTCTTTTTTTTTTTTTTTGTGGTACGCAGGCCTCTCACTGTTGTGGCCTCTCCCGTTGCGGAGCACAGGCTCCAGACGCACAGGCTCAGCAGCCATGGCTCACAGGCCCAGCCACTCTGCGGTATATGGGATCTTCCCGGACCGGGGCACAAACCCGTGTCCCCTGCATCGGCAGGCGGACTCTCAACCACTGCGCCACCAGGGAAGCTTAGAAGTCAGTGTCTTGCTGTAAAGCCTAGCTGGAAAATTTCCCCCAAAACAAAACTTTTGAAGAGTATTTTAAAATGCTTCCTTGTCAATAATTCACCCTCTAAATGTTTCCTTCCCCCATAAGTAGCTGGCATATTCTTTGCCATGACTTAATAAGTATGTTTTAATCCTTTATTAATGTTTTTTACTAAACTAAAACTACCACTACATTTATAGCCATCTTGAATTTCAATGATGGTGAAGGTGCCTGTTTTTAGCTACTATTTTCAATGATTTCTCTGTCTCTCCCGTTCATCCAAAAGATTTTCTGGACAACATAGATTTTCATAATTCTCACTTACCAGTTACAAAATTCCATGCCAGTTTTGTATTGCATGTTTAATCTCAAACTGTGTGGAAGCTATTAGTCTCTTGTCTTATAGTATGCTTAAATCAGAATATAATTTTTTTCACTGTATTGTACAAAAAGTTGATTCTTCAGTAATTAAGCACTTTTGCAAATAATTATGTAAGATCAGATTATATTCCAGTTATCTTTATATGTTGTCTCACAGCAAGTTCACAGATTGAGGAGAATGATATTTATGAACATAAATTATACAATTTGGGAGGTAAATGATATTAATGAACAATTGGGGGGAAAAACAGCACTCTAAATTAATTGTCTCTTCTTTGGTACACTAGAGTACAGAGTGTTTGGAGTTTAATTTACTCAGTTAAGGCCTGTGAGTACAGTCCTGAGAGAAATGTGAGACTCTCCATTTACAGACTTTTCAATAGTTAGCATTGTAGTTTCAAGCCTTCTAGATTAGGTTAATTTACATGTCATTGTTACTATTTTAGATGTTAGTCACTTTATTTTTTTTTAAATGCCCCTCCCCTTCTCTCTCATCTGTCTTGCCTATAAAAATGTATTTTTTTGGGCTTCCCTGGTGGCGCAGTGGTTGAGAGTCTGCCTGCAGATGCAGGGGACATGGGTTCGTGCCCCGGTCCAGGAAGATCCCACATGCCGCGGAGCGGCTGGGCCCATGAGCCATGGCCACTGAGCCTGCGCGTCCAGAGCCTGTGCTCCGCAACGGGAGAGGCCACAACAGTGAGAGGCCCGCGTACCGCAAAAAAAAAAAAAAAAAAAAAATGTATTTTTCATACCTGGATGCTGTTTAAGATACATAGGATTTGAAAAGGAGACACAACTGCAAAATAGAGAGAAACACAAAGGGAAGCAGGAAGGCTGGCCCTCAGGTATCAACCAACTACTATTTTGAGCAAATCACTTTGTTCTCTGAGCTTTATTTTTCTGCTTCTGAATTTTGAGCTTTATCCATCAACATTCACATGTTAGGTATGCTATGTAATCCAGATATAATATGTTACTATATATGTACCCATAGCCCAAACTTTTGTAATGTATATCCATTTTTAAATAAGTAAGTACTAATTAATCTTCTTGGGCCACCATAACAAACTACCACAGGTTGTGTGGCTTAAACAACAGAAATTTATTTGTCACATTTTTAGAGGCTGAGAAGTCCCAGGTTCTGGCCAATTTGGTTTCTGGTGAGAATTGTCTTCAGCTTTCTTGCTGTGTGCTCACATGACCTCTTCTTTGTGTGTGTAGAGAGAACCAGCTCTTTGATGACTCTTTTCACAAGGACACTAATCCTACTGGTTCAGGGCCCCACCCTCATAATCTTAATGACTTCTTCAGAGGTTCCATCTTCAAACACAGCCACACTGGGGGTTAGGGCTTCAACATATGATCTTTGGGGGGACACAAACATTTAGTCTGTAACACTAGTATTACTCCAGCAAGGATAACATTTTTTAAATACCAGGTGTTTATAATGTCTGAAAAAGGTAGAAGAGTGTATTTCAGAGTTCAGGCTAACTCTCCTGTAGATTTTCCTGGGTTCATATTCCTGTCCTCCAAGTTTAACTCAGTAAAGTTATTGAACATTGAGTCTGCACCAGGCATTACTCTGCCAAGCTGTGGGACACAGGAAGCAGGCAGTGTAACAAGAAGAACTGACATGATCCCCATCCTGAAAGGACCTACCATCCAGTAAGGAAGACAGTTCAACAAATGATACACTACAGTTTGACTCATACAATAAGCAAAGATGTAGGAAAAGGAAGGAAGGAGGCCATGCTGAAAAATGGAATCAAAAAAACATTTAGCAGTGTACATTTAGCAGTGTATATATGTCCATGCCACTCTCTCACATCGTCCCAGCTTACCCTTCCTCCTCATGGAGGAAAGAAAGTGATTCACAGTTGGGAGAACATTTCATCAGGAAGGTTTCATAGTATACATGCACCTTCCACAGGGCTTTGAAGGACAAATCAGAATTAATCAAGCTGATAAGGAAGGTAAGTCTTCCTAGTCAGAGGAGGAATAGCATGTGAAAAGTCCCAAAGGCATCAAAATCCTGCTGGTAAAGTAGAAGGGTGTAATTCCATTCCCACAAACAAAGGATTTCGGAGGCCTTTGTGGAGACATTAGATGCTAAACTAAAGAGACTGGACTTTGTTCTTACACAGAGAGGAGATGCAGTGAAGTTTAGTGAGCGGGTATGGTGAAATGGGTGGTAGACTAACTTCTCCAACATTTCATTCATTGCCCATGCAGCATCTGGCACATGGCTGATGTTAAATAAATATTTGTTGAATGAATGAATGATCTAACCATGATGTAAGGGATACATTGGAAGGGAAGGAGCCTGGAGGCATAGCACTTATCGTATTTGGGAGGCTTTATATCCAGTCGAGACTGAATATTACTAATATACCTAAAATGATGGTGGTAAAGAAAAAGAAGGAAAGGATACCAGAAATGTGAATATATCAGTGAATAGTGGATGGAGTGCGGAAAACTGAGGAAATCCAAAAGGGTGCCTAGATTTTGAACCTGGATTAATGTCAGAATATTAGAAACACGCCTACTTCTAAACAAAAGGAGGAGGTGGTTTCAGTTTTTGGTTAGGTTACATTTGAAGTGGTGTGGGTTAATTCACTTTGAAATTTTCAGTTGACATCTAGAAATACAGATTTGAATGGAGATATTTGGATGAGGATGCATATTGGAAGCCGTTTGGATGAGGATACATATTGGAAGCCATTTGCATGGCATCCTTTTATAGAGAGACAAGAGGATTTTAAGTTTAAACCTGAGAAGGGCTTAAAGAAAACACAAGGTCAGTGATATACAGGTAGAAAGTTTTGCCTGAAGAAGGTGGCAGAAGAGCACCAGTACAGAGGCTGGCATCCTTCATGGTGTGGGCAGAAAGAAAGGGCCACAGAAGTGAATCAGTCCCTGGGAGACTGGAGTACACTAATGTGCCTACAGCAGTTGACAGTGTGTTTAAGACTGTATGCAGCCCAATGTTGAGTCCTGGTCTTCTGGACCTCTCCTCAAGCTGTCATTGGTGAAGAGGAATATAGGAGGGATAAAAAGAGAGAAGGAAGAGTTTTTAGGTCTTTAGAGATATAGCCCTGCAGAGGTAGGGAGACTAACATTAACTGAGTATCAATTATGCAGAGGCACGGGGTTGGTGTTTTAGATTTCATATTTCATTCAGGTTCACATTTGATGACTGTGAGAATATTTTGGTGTGTCAATAGGGTTTGGTGGAGTCAGGGCCAGTGGAGACTGGAATATAGTTGAAATCACCTTTGCGCAATGTTGCTTAGAAAACAGAGACTCCTTCCTTACAAAACTATTGCCACCTATTTAAAAAAGAAAGATTACAAAAAGTAACTTTCGGGTGCTATTTTATAACCCATAACTATTCTCTTTTTTCTCTGTTTAGGTTTGGAGATGTCTCTTTGCAAGAAAGTATTAATCAGGAAAATTTTGAACTTCTAAAAGAATATTACACGGTATTTATGGAAAAGATGCCTCCTGATTGTAAGTATGCAAGTTACAAAGAAAAGCAACAATAATAATTTCTTGATTATAATTCTTCGGGAGAGGTCTGACATAGAGGTCAATGGAAGAATAAAGCATGGTGTGGGAATGTCAGAGTGATTTTGAGATTGTCTGCGCCAAGAAAACTGATTGCCAAGGTGGCCTGGCTGACACCTGCCTCGGTGCCCTGATTGCACTCAAGTGTAGCCTGCTGCTCATGCTAGGACATTAATTTCAGTGCTACTAGAAAATGCCAAAAGTCAAAAATAAGGAACTTATAATTAGAAATCTCAATTGAGTCCAACAGAAATTTTGTAGAATTCTTAACCATGTAAAAGACTTTAATAAAGATTTAGTTTTCTGATTTATAAGCTACATCAGCTATAGCTCTCACATATATATGTGTGTGTGTATATATTTATATATTTTATATTTATGCATATATATATATGTCAAATAGAATATAAATTTTACAGGTAATAAAAAATGACATAAATTAAGGAGCAAATTATTGAATATACTCATTGCGATATTTATGTGAAAATGTTGGGGCATAAGCCTATAGAACTGTGTTTTACATTTTGTTTTTTGTTTTGTTTTGTGCCATTGTTCAGTTCTGCCGTCCTTTTTCCCACAAAATTAAGCATTTGAGCAGTGCAAAATTAGAGAATAAAGAATGTATTTGGAGCTCATCCATAAGTACTATAAAGAAATAAGTTGAGATACTTAGATATTCACAATAAGAAACTAGGTTTTAATAAAGCAGGAAATATCTTAATATTTGTTACCAAAAGCTGTAATAAAACTCTACCTGTCATCTGTTCACTAGCAATTTGTTCACTGAACTGTATTCTGATACTTAGTTTGAAATATCTTAGGTAGCAGAGTACTTAGGTCTTTTCATTACACAGTTATCTTGCTTCAAAATATTACAGTGGCATAAGGACATGTCCGTGTGTTTTTACAGTTAGAAAATTTTACTGCCGCTTTTATATTTTATTTCAAATAAAATACTTTTAAAGCCAAAATGAAATTAAGTACAGAGAGATTCTTTGGCAGCCAGCATACTTATGGATTTTCAGTTTGTTAATTACTCAGAAGGTTAATAATATAAACAAAACTACTTTGCATTAGTAATTATGGGAAAAGTCCATTATAACGTGGACGTTGGTGGATCACTTTTTTCATTATTTTTTTAAACATCTTTATTGGAGTATAATTGCTTTACAATGGTGTGTTAGTTTCGGCTTTATAACAAAGTGAATCAGCTATACATATACATATGTCCCCATATCTCCTCCCTCTTGCATCTCCCTCCCACCCTTACTATCCCACCGCTCTAGGTGGTCACGAAACACGGAGCTGATCTCACTGTGCTTTGTGGCTGCTTCCCACTAGCTATCTATTTTACATTTGGTAGTGTATATATGTCCATGCCACTCTCTCACATCGTCCCAGCTTACCCTTCCCCCTCCCTGTGTCCTCAAGTCCATTCTCTACATCTGTATCTTTTTTCCTGTCCTGCCCCTAGGTTCTTCATAAACAGTTGTTTTTGTTTTTTTTTTTTAAGATTCCATATATATGTGTTAGCATACAGTGTTTGTTTTTCTCTTTCTGACTTACTTCACTCTGTATGACAGATTCTAGGTCCATCCACCTCACTGCAAATAACTCAATTTCATTTCTTTATATGGCTGAGTAATATTCCATTGTGTATATGTGCCATATCTTCTTTATCCATTCATCTGTGGATGGACACTTAGCTTGCTTTCATGTCCTGGCTATTGTAAGTAGAGCTGCAATGAACATTGGGGTACATGACTCTTTTTCAATTATGGTTTTCTAAGATGCCCAGTAGTGGGAATGCTGGGTCATATGGTAGTTCTATTTTTGGTTTTTTAAGGAACCTCCATACTGTTCTCCATAGTGGCTGTATCAATTTACATTCCCACCAACAGTGCAAGAGGATTCCCTTTTCTCCACACCCTCACCAATATTTGTTGTTCGTAGATATTTAATGATGGCCATTCTGACTGGTTGTGAGGTGATACCTCATTGTAATTTTGATTTGCATTTCTCTAATGATTGGTGATGTTGAGCATCCTTTCATGTGTTTGTTGGTAATGTGTATATCTTCTTTGTAGAAGTGTCCTTTTAGGTCATCTGCCCATTTTTGGATTGGGTTGTTTGTTTTTTTGATATTGAGCTGCATGAGCTGTTTGTAAATTTTGGAGATTAATCCTTTCTCAGTTGCTTCATTTGCAAATATTTTCTCCCATTCTGAGGGTCATCTTTTTGTCTTGTTTATGGTTTCCTTTTCTGTGCAAAGGGTTTTAAGTTTCATTACGTCCCATTTGTTTATTTTTGTTTTTATTTCCATTTCTCTAGGAGGTGGGTCGAAAAGGATCTTGGTGTGATGTATGTCATAGAGTATTCTGCCTATGTTTTCCTCTAAGAGTTTTATAGTGTCTGGCCTTACATTTATGTCTTTAATCCATTTTGAGTTTATTTTTGGGGATGGTGTTAGGGAGTGTTCTTATTTCATTCTTTTACATGTAGCTGTCCAGTTTTCCCAGAACCACTTATTGAAGTGGCTGTCTTTTCTCCATTGTATATTCTTGCCTCCTTTATCAAAGATAAGGTGACCATATGTGCATGGGTTTATCTCTGGGCTTTCTATCCTGTTCCATTGATCTGTATTTCTGTTTTTGTGCCCGTACCATACTGTCTGGATTACTGTAGCTTTGTAGTATAGTCTGAAGTCAGGGAGCCTGATTCCTCCAGCTCCTTTTTTCTTTCTCAGGATTGCTTTGGCTATTCTGGGTCTTTTCTGTTTCCATACAAATTGTGAAATTTTTTGTTCTAGTTCTGTGAAAAATGCCATTGGTATTTTGATAGGGATTGCACTGAATCTGTAGATTGCTTTGGGTAGCAGAGTCATTTTCACAATGTTGATTCTTCCAACCCAAGAATATGGTATATCTCTACATCTTTTTGTATCATTTTTGATTTCTTTCATCAGTGTCTTATAGTTTTCTACATACGGGTCTTTTGTCTCTTTAGGTAGGCTTATTCCTAGCTATTTTATTCTTTTTTTTGCAATGGTAAATGGGAGTGTTTCCTTAATTTCTCTTTCAAATTTTTCATCATTAGTATATAGAAATGAAAGAGATTTCTGTGCATTAATTTTATATCCTACTATTTTACCAAATTCATTGATTAGTTCTAGTAGTTTTCTGGTAGCATCTTTAGGATTCTCTATGTATAGTATCATGTCATCTGCAAACAGTGACAGTTTTACTTCTTCTTTTCTGATTTGGATTCCTGTTATTTCTTTTTCTTCTCTGATTGCTGTGGCTAAAACTTCCAAAACTATGTTGAATAATAGTGGTGAGAGTGGGCAACCTTGTCTTGTTCCTGATCTTAGTGGAAATGCTTTCAGTTTTTCACCATTGAGAACGATGTTGGCTGTGGGTTTGTCATATATGGCCTTTATTATGTTGAGGTAAGTTCCCTCTATGCCCAGTTCCTGGAGCGCTTTTATCATAAATGGGTGTTGAATTTGGTCGAAAGCTTTCTCTGCATCTATTGAGATGACCATATGGTTTTTCACCTTCAGTTTGTTAATATGGTGTATCACATTGATTGATTTGCGTGTGTTGAAGAATCCTTGCATTCCTGGGATAAACCCCACTTGATCATGGTGTATGATCCTTTTAATGTGCTGTTGGATTCTGTTTGCTAGTATCTGGTTGAGGATTTTTGCATCTATGTTCATCAGTGATATTAGCCTGTAGCTTCCTTTTTTTGTGACATCTTTGTCTGGTTTTGGTATCAGGGTGATGGTCGCCTCGTAGAACGAGTTTGGGAGTGTTCCTCACTCTGCTGTTTTTTGGAACAGTTTAAGAAGGATAGGTGTTAGCTCTTCTTTGTATGTTTGATAGAATTTGCCTGTGAAGCCATCTGGTCCTGGGCTTTTGTTTGTTGGAAGTTTTTAAATCACAGTCTCAATTTGAGTGCTTGTGATTGGTCTGTTCATATTTTCTATTTCTTCCTGGTTCAGTCTCAGAAAGTTGTGTTTTTCTAAGAATGTGTCCATTTCTTCCAGGTTGTCCATTTCATTGACATATAGCTGCTTATAGTAGTCTCTCATGATCCTTTGTATTTCTGCAGTGTCAGTTGTTACTTCTCCTGTTTCATTTCTAATTCTACTGATTTGAGTCTTCTCCCTTTGTTCCTTGATGAGTCTGGCTAATGGTTTATCACGTTTGCTTATTTTCTCAAAGAACCAGCTTTTAGTTTTATTGATCTTTGCTATTGTTTCCTTCATTTCTTTTTCATGTATTCCTGATCTGATCTTTATGATTTCTTTCCTTCAACTCAACTTTGGGGTTTTTTTGTTCTTTCTGTAATTGCTTTAGATGTAAGGTTAGGTTGTTTATTTGAGATGTTTCTTGTTTCTTGAGGTAGGATTGTATTGCTATAAACTTCCCTCTTAGAACTGCTTTTGCTGCATCCCATTGGTTTTGGGCCATCGCGTTTTCATTGTCATTTGTTTCTAGTTATTTTTTTATTTCCTCTTTGACTTCTTCAGTGATCTCTTGGTTATTAAGTAGTGTATTGTTTAGTCTGCATGTATTTTTATTTTTTACCAATATTTTCCTGTAATTGATATCTAGTCTCATAGCGTTGTGGCTGGAAAAGATACTTGATATGATTTCAATTTTCTTAAATTTACCAAGGCTTGATTTGTGACCCAAGATATGGTCTATCCTGGAGAATGTTCTGTGAGCACTTGAGAAGAAAGTGTATTCTGTTGTTTTTGGATGGAACGTCCTATAAATATCAATTAAGTCCATCTTGTTTAATGTGTCATTTAAAGCTTGTGTTTCCTTTTTTACTTTCATTTTGGATGATCTGTCCATTGGTGAAGGTGGGGTGTTAAAGTCCCCTACTATGATTGTGTTACTGTCAATTTCCCCTTTTACGGCTGTTAGCAT